CATTAGTTTATTTTCTCATGGAAAGTCTTAAAAGAGGTATAAAGAGTCATTAACAACTTTTCTCTTGTTACCATTTTTATAAATTATACAATGTCAAAGGTAATAAGTTTACTTTATAGCAAGCATAGACAAATGAGTATCCTTACATTAAGAGTCATCAATTTATAAAGCAAAATGTTTGCTGCTGTTGTTCCTGTTTCTGGAGTTCTAGTAAAGCTTTGAAGATATCTTTGAAAAGCCAAAAAAAAAAAAAAAAGCAATTCAAATGTAGTACATTGGGGAAATACCCTACAAAAGACCTCTTAAAGAGCAAAGATGGTACTTTGAAGATTGAGATGCGCCCCACCCAAGGTTTTGGTATTTTCAATCAGCTAATTTGCACATAAAAATTAGTGAATAAGGAAAACTGAAGAAGGATTAGGGCTTATGGTTAAGAATATTAAATAGATCATGGACTGTCAGAAGTACAAACAAATCTATCTTGGAAGAAGTACCTCCATAAAGCTCCTTAGAAGTGAAGATGGGAAGGCTTCATCTCACATATTGGGGCATGTTACCAAGGATGGTCATCCATGGAGGAAGAATTTCTTGCCTCTAAAAACTACTGGAGGGTCAGCTATGAGTCAGTTTTGACTCAAACATAAATAACGTTATTCCTATTTCCTTTTATATTTACCAACTGTCATATATTATTTCCCCCCTCATTTAATCTCCATTGTCTGTTCTCTTGATAATATTTTAATTTCTTTCTCAACTTCTTCATAACTTTAAGTACTTGCAGTTTTTGCATTTTTTGAACTGTTAAGGTTAGTCTGTTGATTGCTTATCCTCTGCTGAGTCAGCACCCTCAAATATATGTTACTTGTTAAAATAGGTAGGTTTTTCTGATACTTTGATTTAAAACATACTTGAAATATATGATGCAAATTTTAGAACTTAAATATAGTAGGTGATGAAATATTGCCTTTTGCAAAGTGGTGGCTATGAATATGCATTAAAGGTGTTAGAAAAGCTTTTAGATTGCTCTGAAGCTAGACATCTTCCAGCCCAGCTATATTTTCATCATGTTGAAACAAATTACAGGAATTGATGAGTGATGTCATTTAAGAAGTACAATGAACTGACAACTTCATACATATAGTTAACACAAATTACCAAGCAGTGGTAATGGTTATTTGATAATACTTTCCCTACTTTTGCATCTGTTTCCACAAAATGCTGCCAGGACAATCTCTGAGGACGGTCTTCTGCATTCTAATGGCTGATTCTCAGTAATTGTGTAATCTTGGGCTTTATCTACATTTTTTTAAGAAGCTACAGAATAAGTTTCAAAGTATTGGAGAGGGAGTAGTAATCTCAATTTTCTTCCAAGCACATAGGTTCCAGTTCCTATATGATTTGCCAGAAACTTCTAGAATAAAATAGTCACAGCAAATGAAGAATAGAGATGAGTTGGGTTTTTTTTTTTTATTTCAGCTTTTCCTTTTTATTTAATTTTTTTTTCCTTTTTAGAAACGCTTTGTGTGAGTTTGGGTTCCTTGTTAGTGTTTGCTGTTGTTTAAGTTCATATGGTAAGCAAAAGGATAAGAAAGCCTTCATTTGCTAAGAAGACAAGATAACCTTGAATAATAAATAAAACAAAATGCAAGTAGAAAATCAATTAAAATTATAGACTCAGGATCCTACAACTAATTATGTATTTTCACCTTTTTAATCATTTAAATTTTTTTCTAACTTTTCCCACTTTGAAATTTATAAAAGTTACATCATTTTTATTCTAATGCTTTTCCTGTAGTAAATACTATAATTAAGTTCTCTTTTGTGTTTCCTTTTAGGTGAAGCCTCATTTTTCTTTAACATGATGATGTTTTTGTTGTTATTGTTGTTAGGTGACATCAAGTTGATTGTGATTCATAGCCACACTATGCACAATAGTCAGTTATTGTCATAGAGTTGGAACTGACTCAGAGCTGATCCTACAAAGAGCTTGTTTTTCATTTTCTCCTGTAGAGCTGCTGGTGGATTCGAACCATGAGAGGCACAGCCTTTGAGCTAGCAGCTCAACTCCCTGTGGGCGAGACTACTACTGCAGCCTCCAATATGGATTGAGGCTCAATGTCAAGAAGACAAAGATTCTCACCACTGGGCCAATTGGGAACATCAGAATGGATGGAGATTGAAATTGTTCATAGCTTTAGTTTGCTTGGCTCCACAGTCAAGACTCTTGGCACCAGTAGCCAGGAAATTAAAAGGTGTATTGCCATGGGAAAATCTGCTGTTAGGGACCTCTCCAAAGTACTGAAGAGCAATGGTGTCTCTCTGGAGACAAAGGTGCATCTGATACAGGCCATGGTTTTTTGCAATCACTTGTTATATGTCAGAGAGTTGGACAATGACCAAGGAGGATAGAAGGAGAATTGATGCCTTTGAACTGTGGTGCTGGAAAAGAGTATTGAGAATACCATGGACTCCTAGGAAAACAAACAGATTTGTCCTGCAAAGGGTTAAACCGGGTGGCTCCTTGGAGGCAAGGATTCTGAGGCTCCGTCTAACATATTTTGGACGTGTTGTAAGGAGAGACCGGTCCTTGGAGAAGGACATCATGCTTGGGAGGGTGGAGGGAAAGCGCAGGAGGCGAAGGCCCTCTATGAAGTGGATTGATTCAGTGACTGGGATAATCGGGATGGGTGTATCAGAGGCAATGCGATTGGCACAGGATAGAGCAGGGTTTAGGGCTGTTGTACATAGGGTCGCTATGAGTCTCAAGTGACTCGACGGCATATAACAACAACAAAAACAGCATGCACAATATCTCTGAACCCTGCCCTATCCTGATCCAATCTCATTGATTCTGACATACCTACCCCATTACCCCAGTTGTTATGCCAAACAATCTCATCCAAGATCTTTCTCTCCTTCACTATCCCTGGCCAATGTCCAATATATGTGAGATGGAGCTTCAAAATCTTTGCCTCCAAGGAGTAACCTCATTTCATCCTCTCCAGTAAAAACCAGTTTGTTCTTTGGCAGTCTATGAGATGTTTAATACTCTTCTTTAGTACCATAACTCAAAGGCATTGGTGAGTCTTCTATCATTCTTAGTTATTATCCAGCTCTCAGATGCATAGTAAATAATTGCAAAGACCATGGCCTGGATCAGGCACACCTTTTCTTTGGCAGATATCATTGCTTTTTAGCACTCTGGAGAGATCCAGAATAGTAGATTTTTCTAATGCAAATCACCTTATGATTTCCTGACTAATGGGGCCAGAGCATTGATTGTGGAACAAGGAGGCTGAAATTGTTGACTGTCTCAATCTCTTCGGCATATATCATGTTGCTGCCAGTCTTTGTTTTCTTGATGCTGAGCTTCAAGCTATATTGAAGACTGTATTCCTTTACCTTCTGTAGCAAATGCTTTGATTTATTCTCGAATAAAACAAAGAAAGACAGTCGTAAGTATTGTTGTTGTGCCATTGATTTGGAACCTAACTGACCCACCAGTGGGTTTTCAGAGGTAGTTAATTGTATGGAAGGAGATTGCATATCCATCTCCTTTAGAGTAGCTACTAGGTTCAAATTGCATGCTTTTGATATTGCAGTGCATCTTCTTAGCACCAGGCTGCCAGAACACCATGTTGTTGTTGTTAAGTGCCATCTGTCTTAGGTGACTCTTAGGCGACTCATAGTGACCCTACGAACAAAAGACGTGAACACTTGTATAACATTCATCCTTTCTCCAGGTTCATAGAGTTTCCAGAGGCAAGCTATTTGGCAAGTGGACGCCACTTCTGCTTCCATGCTTGTTTTAATCAGGGAGCTCCACCAAACACTGCCCACCATGGATAACCATTCTCGCATTTGACACATCAGGGTCACAGTGTTCAGCTTCACAGCCACAGGTTACCACTGTGGACAGACCAGGGCTATATGACCGAGAAGAATGTTTGACCAAAACCAAAATTAGGTCTGAGGGCCGCATATTAGAGTCACCTACCTTTGCCTTGGTAGCATCACTTTCTGTCCACTAGGCCAACTGATCTCTTTCTATGCTGTTGTTATTGTTACAAAAATCAGGAAATTAACTTTAATATAATACTATTATTTAATCTACATACTTGATTCAGTTTTTCCAGTTGTCTCAATAACTTTTAAGGAATCTTTTATTTTACACACACATGTCACATAAATTTGCCATTTTAACCCCTTTAAAGTATACAAATCATTGACATTAGTGCATTCAAAGTTATGCATTGTTATCACTTTTATCTACAAATATTTTTTATCATGTTTAAGCAAAAATGTATAACTGTTAAACAGTAATTCTCTTTTCTCACTTCCTCCAGCCTATAGTGTGACATCTACTCTACTTTCTTTTTTCTATGAACTTACCTACTTTAGATGACTTTATACATGCATTTCATATAATATTTGTTCTAGTTTCATTCTTTTTAATATAATCTACAATACTGACTCTACAAGTAATATCACCAACCTAGACACTCTCCAAGCTTGAGGCTTTCTAACATCCTAACTGCCTACCTAATGTCTCTGCTTTCCTTTAAATTCACCAAATATTTATTGAGTTGCTACTGTGTGAAGACTATAGTCTTCAGTATGAAATAAGCCTAAA